CAAGACTGTTGACTGTGGAGCCAAGCAAACTAAAGCTGTGTACAATCTCAATCTCTTCAACATCCATCCTGATGCTGCCAATTGGTCCAGTGGTGAAAATCTTTATCTTCTTGACAATGAGCCTCAATCCATATTGTAGGCTGCAGTTAGGAAATAAATATACCACCTAACCTATTTGCAACTTGCCCAGGGACCAGTTTTCTGTGTTAAACAATCTTGTTCAGGGAAGTAGTCCTACAACAAAGGGAAGTGCTTCTAAAGAAAGTGGATTTATCTTCATGATAAAGACTCTTTCCTGATAAACTGGAATTTAAACAAAATAAAACAAAAAGTGGATGGGACAGTAAGAATTTTTTTTTTCCATTTTCTTCTACCTTTTTCAACTAAAAGTATCCTGGGCTAAAGTGCCTGCTGCTGACAGAAGCTGGAGAGTCAAGTGTATTCAGAAACAGTTTCAAAGAATGGCTTTATTGATCTACTTCTGAAAAATCAAGTCATTGAAAATGCTATTGCATCTGTGGGTACAGTGCTATTCTGACACACACTAAAACTCTGAGTCAAAATCAAATCAATGCCAACTAGTTTTTTTGGTTCCCCTAAACAATGTCCCTAGTTTGCTATGTTGTTCTTGTACACTATCATCAAGGTGAAACTAACTCGCAGCTTGCTCTTCAGCGGGATTCCAGCAGGGAGAAAACTGCCCAACCTCCTTGGAGCAGCTGGTGGATGCAATCTGCCTGCCTTTGGGTTGACAGTTCAAGTTCCTACCCACTAAGGCACCAGAGCTCCCTCCACACAATCAGAATTGATTGCAAACATCAATAAATATAAATTTATTTTATACATTCAGTGTTTTGACAAAATTGAGAAACAAGGTTTTTTTTTTCAGATTCTTTCTAAACTTCTCTTTAAAATGTACCATGTATTTCCATGTGATTCATTCTTTTTTTTCTTTTCTTTCTTGTTGTGTTCTGTCAAATCTGATCTGATTGGCACAGGAGAAGATTGCCCCTCCTTCTCCAGTGGAGCATCTGGTGGATTCAAACCACACGCCTTCAGGATTATAGCCTAGCTTCTTACCACTATGCCATCAGAGCTCCCTGTGATTCATTCTTAAAAGGCTTCTCTGTGGATGTTTGCATCTCTAAGGAATTTTAAAGTCCCTTAAGGGTGAAACCATGCTATATTATTTTTGCACTGGTTTCAATCATGTTCCTCTTCTCTAAATAATTAGTATACCAAAGTCCTTATTTCTCCTCCCCAAATACTCCTAAAATCCACTAACATCAAGTTGACTGCAACTCAAAACAACCCTTTATCAGGTGTTTGAGGTTGTCACCTATAAGGGAAGAGACTGTTGCTCCTTTTTCCCCTTGATGCATTCATCAAGGAAATGAATGTGAACCACTGACTTTAGTTTAGCAGAGTAGCCAGTCATATTCAAGCTCTGTAATAAACCCATGTTGTGTGCCATCGAGTCAGAGTCGAATCACAGCTGACCTTCCAGGGGTTTTTCTGAGGCAGTTAATCCCAGGAGGGAGACTCCTAATCTTCCCACAGAGCAGTTGGTGGATTTTAAAAACAGTGCCTTTTGGGACTGCAGCGCAGCTTTTTATCACTAGGCCACCAGAGCTCCAATAAATGGAGCAGTCAATACACATGAATATTGGTTTGGAATCAGAGCAAAACTAGTTCTAAGCATAAGTATTTAACGGAAATTAGAGATCCTTCACTATTCTAATTAGTCTGTTCCCAGGATCACTGGGTCAGAGCCTACTCACACCGGTGGAGGAGCTTCGTTTCCACCCTGAATGAGTACAGCATCATTCGCAGATTTTTAAGTCAGTGGCTTTGATTTAATTTTATCTCCACGTGGTTCTTCTTTCCAAGGGCAGCACTTATTCCTGCAGTCAACTCCAGCAATCTTGAGATCTTTAACTGGAATCCTCCCCTCCCCCACACCCATGTACCTCCCCAGCTTTATTAAGCCCCTTAATCCTAGGATTAAGAAAGAGAAAAAAGGGGAAGGGGGAAATCAAGAAAGAAGAAAATAAGAAGGGGAGAAACTTAAGTAGATAGAAAAAGAGTAAATGAATAGAAGATATAAAAATTATATTTGATTTAGAGTTATGTGGCCAGGAAAGGATTATATGCATGTGTAATTACTTTTTTATCATTTTTTCTGAAGTCATACAAAAATGTCTAAAAACAATATTTTTTTTTGTTATTGAGGAAATGTTAAGGAAAGAGTTCTTTTCTAGTTGTAGTAATTTACATTCAACTTGGGGTTTGACACTAATATGTATACCATCAATTTTCATAGATGAACAAGGAATCATGAACACAGAATGTAAACTTCAGGTGTTATTATATCCAAGTACAAAGTTATTTAGCAATGTGCTTAGCAAATAATGAACAAATTAAACATTCACTGGTAAGAATGAACAGTGAAGCTGAAAGGAATAGATACACTCAGAGAAAAATACCAAATGCATAGTTATCAAGGAAACATTTTTTAAAAACAACTTTTTTCCCAAGGCAAACAAGCACTTTTTTAGCTAAACAAAATTTAAAAAAAAAGTAAGAAGCAGAAGGCAATTTATGGAAAGTACATTATTACATCTTACTTGTCTGAGGTCAATGAATGCTAGCTGCAGGGTATCTCCCTGGAATCCTGGCACAGGCTCAGAGCTGGCAAACACTGTTTAAAAAGAAAAAAAAATTAAAATAATAAAATATACAAGGATTTAACCACTAAATTAATTACTAAAATGGTAATATTTTTACTTAACCATTTCAAGTGAAGATTGCTTATAACCATCAATTACCACTACTGAGAATGTTCTCCACATCCATTACCACAAATATTCTAATAATTTTAAACTTTTAATCTGCCACTGAATCACTGTAATCTTTAATTACAATAAATTTGGGAGAGTTATCCTACATAAAGTTCAGGAGGAGTAATATACTTCAATCAAGTAAAGTTTTCTGACTCTTTTAGCCTCAGGTGAATGATTATAAAAGCATTTGAAACCATACCAATTCCATGGCTGTCAACATATTTCTAAACATCTGCTTTGTTACACCATATGCTCTATAAAGGTCCTGCTCTTAGCTAACAGCAATGAAAGACAGACACAAAGTAAGAAGTCAGTCTTACATGTAGATCACAAGTAAAATGTTTTAAGGTATCAAAATCAGGATGATGCAGGAATGTCTGTTCATACTTTTATTGATTGCTTTTAAAAATAATGGAATTCTGGCTCTTTTTAAAAAACTAGAAAAATATCTCAAGGCAAGATTTTTTTTTTTCTCCTTTCAAATGATTCTTTTTCAAAATTTTTGTTCTGTTTGTGCTTCCAAACTCTTATAATATGTAACATAGCTAATTAAGGTGAAGACAAATCCAATGATTAGTGATTTCGAAGACAAAAGACTTCTGGATCATGAAAATTTCTCCAATAAGAACTAAAAATGGTCATTCTTCTCATTAATATCCTAGTTTTCACACACACACACACACACACAAACTCAAACACAAACCCTAGTAGTGTAGCTATGTTTGACGAAAAGACTGGTAGTTCAAAACCATTAGCTGCTCCATAGGAGAAAGGTATGATCTTTGCTTTTCTAAATATTTACAGCTGCAGAAACCCTATGGTTTCTGTCTTATAGGGCTACTATTAGTTGGAATCAATTCGATGGCAGTGGGTTTGGGTTTTCTTTCAGAGAACATTACAAATACTATATTTGTGAATTTATCAGAATCAATATTATAGATGCATTTAAAGTTTCAGGTCTATATCATTATAAGAATAACAAAAATAATAATCTAGTGTGTTTTGTGTGAAACATAGTTTATAAAGTTTCAAAACCAACAATTAGACTATTAGTATCTATAATCCGAGGATAGTTAATCTAGTATCTTTGGGGAATAAATTTTTGTTATTGCTCTTAAGATCATGGTAATTTTTGTTTCAAGTACCAAACAAATTTAAACTAAGCATTAAAAATTTACTTAAGTGAAATTCTTACAACATAAAAGTAACTATTTTAAAGCAATTCAGTGATGTTTTTTGTACATTCACGATGTTGTCCACCTATGATTCTATCTAGTTCCAAAAAATTCCTATCAATCCAAAGTAAGAAACCTTACCCCCAAGTAGTTTTTCCCTTCATCCAACCATGGTAATCACTTTATATACAAAATCTTTTGTGTCTTAATTCTTTCACTTAGCGTAATGTTTTCAAGGTTTATCTATGTTATCATTCATACTGTAGTGGAATCAGTGCATCATTCCTTTTTATTATACACTACTATTTGTTTATCTATTCATTCCCCACCCATGAGCATTTGGGCTGTTTTCACCTTTGGTTTCTGTGAACAGTGTTGTTAGAAATGTGAGCAGACCTGTCTGAGTTCCATTTTCAATTATTTTAGCTGTGCATCCAGGAATAGAACTGCGGGATAATAAGGTAGCTCTGTGTTTAGCTCTTTGAACTACTGAACTATTTTCCACAGAAGTTATCTCAAATATTTTTTGGGTTAAATTCTAAAATGCATCATAAGCTTTATTTGTTCTTTTTTTAAACATATACTCACTACCACTGAGCTGGAACCAACTCGCAGCTGATCCTCCAGCCGATTTTCTGAAGCGGCAAATTATACAAGAGAAGACGGCCCCTCTTTCTTCTCTGCAGCTGTGGGTGGTTTGGACTCCCTATGAACTGTGCCACCAGAGCTTCCTAAGAATATACTAAATAATATTTAAATTTAAATGTCTGAGTGATCATTAAAAATATATTTTATTCTATATGACACAGTTAAATTCCCAGGAGTTGCTCTGGTATTAAAAGCTATTTTCTTATGTTATCTGAGTTTTAATCTTTTCTAATTGTTTTACCTTCTTTTTCAGTTTTAACAAATTCTTACTACCTGCTCTCTTGCGTATTCTTTTATTTTTACAAAAAGAGAAAGGATCACATGAGGATAGCCATATTTCACTTTTACCAACTAACTCCATAAAGGGGAACTGTCTCAGTCAACATCAACAACACAAACCCAATATCCATGAGGTCAGACATGTTCCCCATGCTCCTGAACCTCTTTCAATTCATCTCAACACTAAACTTACTGCTCTACTAGGTCCAAAATCCATTGTTCACAGACCACACAGAACCATATTAGGGAAGTTTAAAGGCTGTATAATTCAGGCTGTTAGCAGATAAAATCACTCACTCAGGACAATTTCTGAAATGTGTTCACAGGCACTTCAACCTGCAGCCTTGAGGATTTAGGCCAGTGTTACAAAGCTTAGTCCTGACAATTAAGGCTCTCATTCCCAGCCTTCCAACAAACTTGAGCAAAAATTCTTAGCTCTGGTTTCATGGGGTGGCAGCTCTGCCTCACTATGGGTCTCTGGTTTTCTGCTGCTTGCTGCTGCTGCTCTCCATCCAGTAGGTCTGGCTGGTGCAAGAACCACTGGCCCTGAAGGGTGTACAATGCATTTTATAACTCTTTGCTTATGGTGAGAATCTCTAAGATTGCTGCTGAATCTGCTCAATTTAACGGTGAAACTAGTCAATCCCCTCATGGTTAAACTAATATGCCCTATTTGCATATTCTTCTCCATCCACAGGGCTAGGAAAGCCATCTTGAACAACAAGCCCTTAACAACACATATATTATCTTTCATCCCTTTGGATCAGCTAACTGATTATCAGAATTATGTGCAAAATAAGAATAGGTAAAGCCTGAGTACCTGGGTGTTACACAAATATGTTGAGTCTATCGGAGATCTGGACAGTGACTAGGAATGATAGAAAGAGAATTGATGCCTTTGAGCTGTGGTGCTGGAGAAGAGTGTTGAATATACCAGGGACTACTAGGAAAACCAACAGGTTTGTCCTAGAGAGGATGAAGCCAGGCTTCTCCTTGGAGTCAAGGATTCTGAAGCTTCGTCTGACATACTTTGGGTATGTTACAAGGAGGGACCAGTCCTTGGACAGGGAAGTCATGTTTGAGAGAGTGGAGAGACAGCACAGGATAAGATGGATCAATTCAGTGACTGGAGTAATGGAAGTAGTTGTGTCGGAGACAATGAGGTTAACACTGGACAGAGCAGGGTTGAGGGCTCTTGTATATAGATACGGTCACTATGAATCGCGGACAATTCGACAACACATAACAACAACATTGTACCTTGTAGTATAAATAACCTTTTGGTTACTCAAAGTGTACCTTTCCTTTCTTTCTTCCTTATTTCCTGGTTCCCTTCTGCTAGAAGGACAAAGGTGCACCAGATTCAGGCCATAGTCTTTTCAGTCATTTGCTATGCATCTGAGAGCTGATCAATGAGTAACAATGACAGAAGAAGAATCGATGTCTTTGAACTGTGGCATCATAGAAGAGTGCTGAAGATCCCATGAACAGCCAAGAGAATGAAAAGGTCTCTCTTGGGGAAGGTGCAGCTAGAGTGCTCCTTGGAGGCAAAAATGATGAAGCTTCCTCTCATATACTTTGGACATGTTGGTTGTTGTTATGTGCCACTGAGTCACTTGCGACTCATAGTGACCCCTCAGTACAAGAGCCCTAAATACCTCTCTATCCTGTGCCAACCTCATTGTCTCAAACACACTCATTCCCACCACCCCTGTCACAGAATCGGTCCATCTCATCAAGGGTCTTCCTCTCCTGCACTGTTCCTCCACTCTCCCAAACATGATGTCCCTTTCCAAGGATCAGACCCTCCTTGCAACATGCCCAAAGTATGTCAGATGAAGCTTCAGAATCCTTGACTCCAAGGAGCGCTCCAGCTTCACCTTCTCCAGGACAAACCTGCTTGTTCTCCTAGCAGTCCATGGTATATTCAACACTCTTCTCCAGCACCACAGCTCAAAGGCATCAATTCTCTTTCTATCAGCCCTATTCACTGTCCAACTCTGCAATGCACTGCACATAACTGCGAAGACTAGAGCCTGGATCAGGCGTAACTTAGACTCTAGCCTGATGTCATTTCTTTTCAGTACTCTTGCGTTGTCCCTCATAGCTGACTTTCCCAATGCAATTCGTCTCTTGATTTCCTGGCTGCTGTTACCAAGAATGCTGACTGTGGAGCCAAGTAAACAAAAACTGAAACTGTTAACTATCTCAGTCTCTTCACCATCAATACTGATGCTTCCAAATGGCCCAGTGGTGAGAATCTTTGTTTTCTTGATGTTGAGCTTCAATCCATATTGAAGGCTGCAGTCCCTGACCTTCTGCAGCAAACTGGTAGGAGAGGTTATTCCTTGGAGAGAGACATCATACTTGGAAAAGTGGACAGGTGATGGAAGAAAGGAAGACCCTCAAGCAGGTGGGTTGACACAGTGACTTCGGCAATGGGTTTGGATGTGTCAGACTGAGGATGCACAGGACAGCAGTGTTCAGACTGGCTATTCCTCAGGTTGCTATGAATCATACTCTACTTGATGGCACCTAATAATAACAACAAGTCCTGCTAGGCATTAAATATTTAATTAACCTCCCCCCCACCAGTCCCTTACTTCTGGAAAACTAAGATTTAGAAAGTAAATCTCTCCACTTTTTTTTTTATTATGTAGTTTAACTTACATAATTTATCTTTTTAAATAACTCTCATAGTGACACCCCTCTGGGTTTCAGAGGCAGTAAATCACAGGGGACAAGACTGCTCACCT